ATATATATATATATATATATATATATATATATATATATATATATATATATATATATATATATGACATTATGTTTAGTCTGCTGTAAGAATGCTTAACTTCTTAAATTCTACATAGTTCAAATTCAACTTTTTGTGACGCAGGCTTAATAATTTATTCATGTCATATAATTGCTTGCCAAAAAAACAAAATCTTCAAATCAGTATAAACATTTTATTTAAAAAAGTATATCAGTATAAAAATGATTTTATTGTATTTTATTTTAAATTATTTTATTACATTTTTATTTTATTAGGCTAATTTCGCTTGACTAGTTGAATTTTTTTCTTTTGTATATTCATGACATTAGGTTTAACCTGCAGTAATATTTTGTAGGAATGTTTATTTATTATTATTTATATATTATTCATATTATTATTCATAGACATAGCAATATAGATATTCACTTGAGATGCAGACTTATGGATTAATTCATCAGTCACATAATTGCTTGTCAAACTAAATGTCTTCTAGTCAGTACAAATTTGTGTTCTAAATTATCTTATTTTATTTTTATTTTATATACATTATTATTTTCTTTACATTTATTTTATTTTAAATTATTTTATATTTTAATATTATATATTATTATAATAAATAATATTATTTAATATTATTAAATAATATTTATTTTATTTTTTGGCTCATTTAATATGTTGCCTAATTCTTTTTATATATTTTTTTTCTTTTGTCTATTCTATTGTATATTCATGACATTAGGTTTAGCCTGCTAATAGGTACTAATAAAGTCAACTTTTTGAGATGCAGGCTTAAGGCTTCATGTCATATAAAATATCTTCAAGTCAGTGGCCTGATTCTTGAATGCAGTCGTGCTAAACTTAACTAAAGCTGCTCTGCTCGGAGTTGTTGCTGCTCTCTGGCTCTGTGTGTAAAATCGATGGCGTTAGCAAACGTGTCGGTTCAGTGTCTGCTGCTCGGGTCAGATCTCGTTCTTCTGCCGTGCCAATTCCAGTTTGCCGTCTCGAGTGTGATTAGACGGGACATACAGCCTAATCAGCGCTAATCTGATTCAAGTCGGCCGTAGAGTGTCAGAATACACACACAGCTCAGAGCGGATCCATGACTTAACTGTACATCACCCTCTTGTGGTATGAATAAAATGCAACAGTAATACTACAGTACATGGAGTCAGTAGCCTATCTGGATTAACTCTGAGCAGAGACACTCGAGAGAAGCCTGAGGTTGTGTTTTTCTCATCCAAACAGCAGAATTGCAATCACAGTGCATTAGCATTAAAAACGGTGACCTTAAAGTGATATGACATGAAAATGGACTGAAAATTATTTCCTTTAATTACATTTCTGGTCTTATTGTGAAAGATTCATCATTACATGCTGTCTGTCTTCACCATCTTTCAACCATTAGCTGGCTGCAAATAATGTGCATATTATATTATATTTTAAATAATAAAATATATTAATAAAATTAATAAAAGCATTGATATTAAATTAAATATTTTATTACATTATTTTAAGTTATATTGTTTTATTTTAAATTATGTACAATCTAATCTATTCACTCAAAAAAAAAACTTTGGGTCAAATATGGACTAACCCAACTTTTAAAATTTAATGTAAAAATTTAACCAAAAGTAGGGTTGAAACAACCCAGCATTTCTAGACAGAATTTTTTATTATATTACATGATATATTATATTGTGTTGTATTATTTTAAGTTATATTGTATTTTTATTATATGACATTATTTGAAATTGTTATATTATATTATGATATTAGTTTTTACTTTTATATATATTATACACATATTCATTTAAAAATTTTATATATTTAATATTGTATTATATAATTTTATTTTATTTGAAGTTCTATTGTATTTTCTTTTAAATTATGTATTACATTATATTATATTATATTGGAAACAAAATGGAAAATAAATCTGTTTATTTTAGATAATTTATGCTTTTATTTTATTTTGATTTTATTTCAATCTGATTTCAATTAAAAAGGTCACTAATTAACTTTCCAGAAGTAATAAGTCATAAATTCAGATTTGATTTGATTTGATTTTTTGGTCAAAGGCATTTTTAAAAAGGGTATCTCAGAGTCTTTAACTAGAAGACTAACCTACCCATGTTAAAGCATATTTCTTATAAATTCTATAGAGATCACAATGAAAACATAAACCTCTAGATTAACTGGGTAAGAAATCCAGTTCTCTCGTCTTTCATGAAACGGCTTTCCTAGATGAATGATGAGGCTGTGCTCTGGTACCTGGTCTCAGACACGATGTTTGTTAAAGCTCCTCCCTGCAGATACTCCATGATGACCCAGAGCTCCTCCTCCACCAGAGCGCTCTTGAACATCTCCACCACGTTCCTGTGCTGGTAATCTCTCATAATCACCACCTGAACACACACCAACACACCCTCATCAACACTCATCAGCATAGCGAATGCACAAAAATAAATCAGTTTGTTTAAGGGTCAGAAAGTTGCTGTTAATTTTGAAATGTTGCTGTTGAACTTTCCAAAAGTCATATCTCAATATATTCAAGTGGTCAAAGATGTTTTTTTTATCCATAATCCTTTTTATTTCATTTAATTTCAAATTTAAATTTAAATTTAAATTAATTTAATTTAATTAATTTTTTATTCAATTAAATTGTATTTTTATTACATTCAACACTAATCGTGTTTACAGGGTTCCAAAATATAATTTATATGTTTCATCTCTTTATTTGAATATGACTAACTTAAATAACCAAGTCATTTCTGGCAGTATCTGCTAGTTCCCCTTCAGGAAGTCGAGCTGCGTCGAGTCGCTTTGGGAACGCCCTTGCGTGACCGCGTTCTGAAGCACGTGTCAAATCAGTCCAATGGAGCAGCGAGACGTCACGAGCAGGGTGACGTAAGCACCAGAAAGTATAAAAGTGCATCCAGCAGAGTGTATGTGTCTGTCTATTTACTGTTGTCTGTCCGCACAAGCATATATAAAAAACAATCATGAAAAAGTCTATGGCGAGCGAACGGCATTACAAAGCTGTGTTCCTCCCTGCCCACGATATCTGGCGGCGGGTGATACACACGATTTGTGTGTCGTTTGTTTGGGAGCGGAGCATGCACGGTCAGCTTTCGAGCAGCTGATTGTCATCACTGCGAGTTACTCTCGCTGCGTATGTTCTGCTCTCGCCTGGCTGTGTTTGATGAGAGCGGCCAGGCTCGCGATCCCGCTGGCAGCGGTTGTCGTGGAGACCGCGGGTGGATTTAGCGGAGGGATCCGAGACGGGCTCGTCCTTTTCTCTGTCCTCACCCGCTAGATCCGCGGCTCAGTTTTCGGAAGCCCGCGCTGCGGTTTCTTCCCACCCCCCCAGAGAGAGAGAGCCAGACGCTTCATCTATCTTCCTCCGAGTAGGTGGATGTGATGAGTGTCAAGACAGAGGAGACTGTGGACTCGCCACCACAGTCCCTCGCGTATGAGGTGTGATTCGTGATTATGGGGTGTGTTTCGTGCATTCGCCAAAATAAAATATTGTTTGGCCAGCCTAGAAACAGGACGCTCGTCCTAAAAATAATTAGACGAGCGTTTTCTGAATCCAGATCACAGCCTTCACGACAGGGGCCTTCCGTTTTTCCCCGATCTCTAAGAAGATATGCTAAGAAGAATGGAGGTGTCAAGATAGTGGGAGAAACCGTACTCATCCCGTATTACAGCCCCACAGTCTCGAATGATTCAAAAGAACATTGTGGGGCTGAATGATAAGGGATATGGGGCGATGCCAGTGGTGGAGCAGA